AGTGCAGTGGCACAATCTCTGCTCACTGCAACCTCTGCCTCTCGGGTTCTTGGCATTCTCCTACCTCAGCTTCCTTAGTAGCTGGGACTACAGGTACCCACCACCACACCTGGCTAATTTTTTATATTTTTAGTAGAGACGGGGTTTCACCACATTAGCCAGGATAGTCTCGATCTCCTGACCCCGTGATCCACCCGCCCTGGCCTCTCAAAGTGCTGGGATTATAGGCGTGAGGCACCGCGCCTGGCAGAAAGTGACATTCTTTACTTACCATAGGTCAGGAACCCTGTATAGGGACTGTGGAGACAAGGTATCAGGTCAGTTTTCCCAAGGGGCTTTATCGGCTCTGTAAGTCATGTTTAATTTCTTAAAGGAAAACACATAATTCCAGTCAAAGCCTTGGTAAAATAAACAGTTTTTCCAATTGTGTCTTGTTGCAAAAGAAAACAGATTATTGGCCAGGCACAGTGGCTCACATCTGTAATCCCAGTACTTTGGGAGGCCGAGGTGGGCGGATCACCTGAGGTCAAGAGTTCGAGACCAGCCTGGCCAACATGGTGAAACCTCATTTCTACTACAAATACAAAAATTAGCCAGGCGTGGTGGCAGACACCTGTAATCCCAGTTACTTGGGAGGCTGAGGCAGGAGAATCACTTGAACCCGGGAGGCAGAGGTTGCAGTGAGCCAAGATTGCACCACTGCACTCCAGCCTGGGTGACAGAGCAAGACTCTGTCTCAAAAAAAAAACAAAAAAAACAAAAACAGATTCTTATTGCACTTCAAATAGCTATATTGCCATACATTAAGAATACTCACAACTAGTTTCCAAATTTTGCAGAAATTAGGTAGAGAGAAACAAATATGCTCCAAATTTTGTTCATACAAGTATACTTTAGTAAATTATTAAAAGCTGTAACTACTAGCTCAAAAGTTTCCTTGATTCTGAAAAACAGAACAAAGGATCAGCAATATTTTAAGCAAAAAGTTAAAAAGATTACTTCTGGTTTCTATTAGTTTAGTCCATATAGTTAACTTCTGTTTGCTATTCATGGACATTTCAGCTCTCCATAAGAATTCTGAAAGTTTTTTCCTCTATTCTGATGTCACAATCACCAAAGTTATCAGAAACCTGCGCTCAAGAACATCTGTCAAAGTCCTGTAGCTGATTATAAACCGCCTTCTAAAGAGGACCAAACAAGACAACCATTGTTTGTGGATAACAAAACATCTTAGGACAGCCGTCATTAAAACCACAATTGATAAGGAAATTTGATTACTTCTGTGGCATACAAAATTTTACATAACAATTATATCTATTAATAACATACATTAAGTGTTATGAGAATTATAGGAGTTTTAAAAGTAATTTGGGAACACATACCAATAACACATTTGTATATAAAAATACAGCCCAAAGAAAACCAAACACCATTTTATATTTGACAGTGCTTCCTGTAGGATTCTTGTACCCAATAAGCCAAATGTCATTGTTACATTAGTGCCCCCAGCCTAATCTAGAATCTAATGCTCCCATGTAGGTAAATTGAAGAATTTTCAAAAGTCAAAGAAGCAGTTTATGACCTTAAAGCATTTAGCAAGCTTAATATCTGACCTGCATGATTTAGACCAAACATTTACATTTTTGAAGATATTTTTATTTCACCAATAATCTTTAAAACTGCCTTTATTTCCTAAAGATTGCTTAAGTTACATGAACTAAAAGGCATTACACTTTTAAATTTTCTGATAAAATTTCTGATTTAAGCTCTTACTGTTATTAAACCAATTAATCAAAGCTCTTTCATATACAAATGTCAGGCTCATAACACATATAAACACAGACAGAAGATAAAGGACTCATTCCCTAAGCCAGGAATTATGCCCTGAACCCAGGCCACCACTGTGAAAAGAGAAGGCACAACCACATGGTTACGAGGTGAAGCTCCCAAGGACACACAAGACAGGAAGGAAATCTCATCCAGTTTTCTTCAGGGACCTACAGCAAAGTTCATAACTGACCAGTTTGCTGGTCCATCTTGAACAAACCTAAGAATAACTGGTGTTCCTAAGGAATAAGAGAAATCTAAAAGTTTGGAAAACATATTTGGTGGAATAATCGAGGAAAACTCGCCGGCCTTGCTAGAGACCTAGACATCCAAACACAAGAAGCTCAAAGAACACCTGAGAAATTCATTGCAAAAAGGTCATTGCCTAGGTACATTGTTATCAGGTTATCTAAAGTTAAGACGAAGAAAAGAATCTTAAGAGCTGTGAGACAAAAGCACCAGGTAACGGTAACCTATAAAGGAAAACCTATCAGATTAACAGCAGATTTCTCAGCATCTAGCTATTTATCTTACTTCTGTTTCTTTCAAACTTTTTGCTTTCTCTGTCTTTTTTCCTGTCTTATAAACTAGGGAAAGGGGGAGGTAGGGGAGAAGCCAGGAAGGACCGCAGGAGAATTGGTGTCTCATTCTATATTTTTCCCCTTTGAGAATTTTCACTTTTTAGTGGGAGTTTTCGCTCTCATCCTCCCTTTCTGAGTCTCTTCGTGAGATAGAGCGACAGTGATTCATATAATACACATGTGCTGAAGTTTTATGCTGAACCGAAGTAGCAACAAAACCTTTTATCATGTGAAAAAGCAAGGGTAATACACAGGGGAGCAGCAAGCAAGTTCCTATTACTAGCAATACACCTACAATGAGGGTTTTAAATCCTCCTGTAGCTGGAAACCATTTTCCAAATAAAGACCCAGGATCAAACTCGTGCCAAACCTGTACAGGCACATGTGCCAACTTTGTCATGTCCTTGACTATGTTTTCAACCACCTGTCCTTGATCATCTGTTTGTAGGTAGCAATTGGTTAAGTTAAATTTTCCACAGACTCCTCCTTCAGCTGCCAGCAAGTAGTCCAAGGCCAGTCTATTCTCATAGATGGCATTTCTCATTTGGATTTCCTGCCGAGCTAAAACAGTCAAAGCTCTGACAGTTTCATTAGTAATTATTTCTAAGATGGCCTGCAGCCGTACAATCTGATTGAGCATGTAAATGGGGGTTCAGTGTCCCCATGAGCCGTCTTGTGTCCGTGTGGCAGGCCCATAATACTGTATAATCCTTTCAGAAGGTCACTCATTATCTTTCCAGTTTCCTGTAACTATGCTTCTCTTTTCTCGGGAGGCGTAGACAGGGAAACCTAGGAGCTCACTCATTTTTACGGGTAATAAGAAAAAGGACGGCTTAATAGTGCCAATAACACAACTACCTACCCATTTATTAGGTCACCGAATGTAGACTCTTTGCCCACATATCCAGTATAGTCCAGTGGGAGCCGTCCAGTCCTGATAACCTGAATGTAGGCTCTGTGCCCGCATATCCAGTATAGTCCAGCGGGAGCCGTCCAGTCCTGATAAGATTCTGGATGAGCCCAGGCAGTTTTTAATTTAGAAAATTTACTAAATGGGTTCTTTTCAGTGTGATTTAGGCCCCACCAAGTAATTGTCTTTGTTGTGCCGTTGTATAACTTCTGTCCTATACAATTAAGCTTTCCTACAGGGATGATGAAGTCTTTTCCTTCTCTAGCTAGACAGTGTTGTCCAATAATTGAGGTTTTTAGGATCCAGAAGTTGCTAGCTTGGGCCTTCTGAACTGGAATTACATCAGGAGCTGGATCAGTGGGCACCAACTCTCGGGCTTCCCAAGGCCATCGATCTCTGTTAGTGGTTCCCCCGCATACATAACAGGAAGCAACATTAAGGGAATGAGCTACATTTTCTGCTAATTGGAGAAACAGATTTTTTGTCTTTTTCGGAAGTTCTGGTGCTGGCAGATTCAGCTCCTTGTAAAAGGTTTGAAACACTGTTTTGGGAGAGCACTTGTGGACCTCCCTTCAGACTAAAATGGCAACTTGGGGGTTTAACCCTGTCCCATCGATCCCCAGGATTACACGTTTTCCCTTTTTCCAACGGGGATCTAGGGGATGGGTGATTATGAGTTCCGGGGGATTACAGTGACTGGTAGCACAGGAGGGTTGATGGGGATCTAGGGGTTGGTGATTATGAGTTATGGTGGGTTACAGTGACCGGCAGCACAGGAGGGTTGATGGGGATCTAGGGGTTGGTGATTATGAGTTATGGTGGGTTACAGTGACCGGCAGCACAGGAGGGTTGGCGGGGGTCTAGAGGATGGATGATTATGAGTTCCGGGGGATTACAGTGACCGGCAGCACAGGGGGGTTGGCGGGGGTCTAGGGGATGGGTGATTATTAGATCTGGTGGGTTACAGTGACCGGCAGCACAGGAGGATTGGCGGGGGTCTAGGGGATGGGTGATTATGAGTTATGGTGGGTTACAGTGACCGGCAGCACAGGAGGGGTGGTGGGGATCTAGGGGATGGGTGATTATGAGGTCCAGTGGGTTATAGTGACCAGCAGCACAGGAGGGTTGGCGGGGATCTAGGGGATGGGTGATTATTAGCTATGGTGGATTACAGTGACTGGCGGCACAGGAGGGGTGATGGGGGTCTAGGAGATGGGTGAGCAGCACAGGAGGGGTGGTGGGGATCTAGGGGATGGATGATGATGAGGTCCGGGGGGTTAAAGTGACCGGCTGCACAGGAGGGTTGATGGGGATCTAGGGGTTGGTGATTATGAGGTCCGATGGGTTACAGTGACTGGTAGCACAGGAGGGTTGGCGGGGATCTAGGGGTTGGTGATTATGAGTTCCGGGGGGTTAAAGTGACCGGCTGCACAGGAGGGTTGGCGGGGATCTAGGGGTTGGTGATTATGAGTTCCGGGGGGTTACAGTGACCGGCTGTACAGGAGGGTTTGTGGGGATCTAGGGGATGGGTGATTATGAGTTCCGGGGGGTTACAGTGACCGGCAGCACAGGAGGGAGGAGGGGTTGGCTTCCCGCTTCTGAAGACAAACCGGGTCCTTTTTGTTCTTTTTCCAAGTAGCCCAAATAACACATGGCCAAAAGGCACAATTTTCACAAACCCCTGACTCATAACAAACATATTTATTTTCTACTCTGTAGCTCCTTTCACAGTTAACAGAACCACATCCTGTTCCTAGCTTGTTACTATTAATGGCTGAACAAGCGTTAAATCTTAAAGCTACTTGTTTGGGGATTCCTTTTCCTTCTGTTCTAGTTATTATTTTACTTGTATCACCTAGGAAAAGGCCAGTTCTTAATCTTATTTCGAAAACGGTGGTTGCAGGGGACTCAGATGGGTTATAACACACATCAGGTTGGTCATTTCCCGGGCTACATACCTTGTACTGAGTGGCATTATACAAACAAGTTTCTTTTAACATACCCATACATTCATAATAACTATAGAACAGAAAGATTGTTTTAATTTGCTGTCCTACCTCAGTGACCTGATGAACACACTGGGAACAGTCCCCAGTTTGAGTAAGGTCCATCGAAGCCCTTACTATGTAAGTCCAAAGTTGAAGAAAAATGAATCCCACGATGAGATTCCTCATGCTTCGGCCGTGCGTGGACCAGTCAGCTTCCGGGTGTGACTGGAGCAGGGCTTGTCGTCGTCTTCAGGGTCACTCTGCAGGGGTTGTCCGGGCTGGGTCTTGCCTCCCAGGTTTCAGGCGCTGCAGGTTTTACAAGGCTGTGGTGGATCCGGGCTAGGATTCCCTCTACCTTCACAGCGGTGGGAGTGTTCAGGACGACAGTCTGGGGTCCTTTCCACCGTGAGCACAAAGAGGCTACGTTCCAGTCCTTGATCCACACTCGATCACCTGGGGAGAAAGGGTGAACTGGGGAGAATAAGCTAACAGGGCATCTCTCATTTACCCAGGCTGAGATTCTTTGTGTAATTTTTCCTGAAGCCTGTAGCTGTCGCTGTAACTCAATTTCACTCAACTTTTGGGGAGTGTCTGGAAGTCCCCGCAATATAGGAGGGGGCCTATAATATAATATTTCATAAGGAGAACGTCCTGTTCTTTTAGAAGGGGTACATCTAATTTTAAATAATACCATAGGGAGAGCCTGTATCCATTTTAATCCTGTTTCCTGACATACTTTCCCTAAACTATTTTTGATAGTCTGGTTCATCCACTCCATCTTTCTGGAACTCTGAGGCCAGTAGGCGGCATACAATTTCCATGTGATCCCCAATACCTTTGCCATCTTCTGCACCCAGTCAGCCACAAACGCCGGCCCATTATCTGAGCCGATCCATAAGGGCAGTCCAAATCTAGGAATAAGATCTCGAAGAAGCACGCAGGTTACTCAGTTCGTGTTGGATAAGCCTCAACCCACCCAGAGTAGGTACACACAAGAACTAGTAGATACTTGTTACCGCCACACTTTGGCATCTCTGTGAAGCCCACCTGGAGATCTTCAAAGGGGGCTGCTCCATAAGCCTGTATTCCGGGCGGAATGGCTGGACCTTGCCTCGCATTGTGCTGTCCGCAGGTAACACACCGCTGCGTCACCGTTTTGGCAAGGGCTGACAAACACGAGATGTAGAAATACCGGCCTAACCACTTTTCAAGTGACTCCTGACCTAGATGGGTGGTTTCATGCACAGCCAGTACAACTGCGGCTCCTGCAGCTGTGACACAGCTACTCTCCCATCTGGTAACCGAATCCACCCTTCCTCCATCTCTTGTCCTCTCTCTCTGCCTGGAGAAAGTCCTTTTCTTCTTTAGAATAAGTAGGTACAAGATCAGGTGCTTGAGGGAGCAGGGGGCTGTGACTGATGCCCGGAAGGGGGCAGATGCTGCTTTTTGAGCTTCTGAGTCAGTGCAGGAATTCCCCAAACCCACCAAGATGGAAGCTCGCTGGTGTCCTCTGCAATGCATAACTGCCACCTTGTGGGGTTTCCATACTGCTTCTAATAATTGCAAGATTTCTCGTTGATACTTTATGTCCTTTCCCCCAGAGTTCGATAGGCCCTTTTCTTTATATGATGCTCCATGCACTTGAAGGGTTAAAAAGTCATACCGAGAATCAGTGTAAATGTTTACAGTCTTACCTTCGCTGAGTTCTAAGGCCGGAATTAAAGCAATGAGTTCAGCTTTCTGGGCTGAAGCGCCCTGGGGCAACAATCTGGCTTCAAGAGCAGTGTCCAGGGTTACCACTGCATACCCTGCACATCTCTCTCCTCGTGAGCTGATGAAGCTGCTCCCATCCACGTATAGTTCCCACTCTACTGTTGCCCAAAGCTGGTCCCGGAGGTCAGGTCTGCTGGAGTAAACTGAGTCCAACACAGTCATGCTTAACAGGGATCTCTGATACCAGGAGCAAGGTGGCGGGGTTCAGGATGTTACAAACTTCAGTGGTTATACGGGGATTTTCACAGAGCAAACTTTGGTACTTGGTGAGTCTAGCATTCGTTAACCAATGATGTCCTTTAGTATTCACTAAAGTCACCACAGCATGGGGGGTCTTTATGTTCAGGTTTTGCCCAAGAGTCAGCTTGTCTGCTTCTTGTACTAGCAGGGCAGTTGCTGCCAAGGCCCTCAAACACGGGGGCCATCCTTTAGAAACCCTGTCTAGTTGTTTAGAGAGATAGGCCACCGGCCTCGGCCAGGGCCCCACAGTTTGGGTTAAAACTCCAACTGCCATCTTTTCTCTCTCTGACACATACAATGTAGAAGGCTTTGTCAGATCGGGTAGCCCCAGGGCTGGGGTTGACAGAAGTTTTTTCTTTAACTCATGAAAGGCTCGCTGTTGTTGGGATCCCCATTCAAATGGTTCCCGGTCCCCGCCTTGGTGACCTCATACAAAGGCTTGGCTAATATTGCAAAGTTTGGGATCCACAGTCTGCAAAACCCTACAGTTCCTAAGAATTCTCTCACCTGCCTTCTGCTCTTAGGCTCCGGTAGATTGCAAATGACCTGCTTTCTTTCTGATCCCAGGCTGCGTCCCCCTGTCGGATAGTAAATCCCAAGTAACGTACCTGCTGTCAGCAGATCTGAGCTTTTTTCTTGGACACTTTATACCCACAGTCCTCCAGGTGCCGGAGTAGGGCATCGGTTCCCGTGGTGCACCCGACTGCCGTGGGGTGTCCCAGCAGAAGGTCATCGACGTACTGCAGCAACACGCAGCCTAGGACTCTGGTGGGAAACTTCTGGCGGTCTCGAGCCAATGCCTCCCCAAAGATGGTGGGGGAGTTCTTGAACCCTTGGGGAAGCCAGGTCTAAGTATACAGAGTAGTGACACCTGACTCCAGATCTTCCCACTGAAAGGCAAAGAGCTTCTGGCTCTCAGGGGCTAATCTGATGCTAAAGAAAGTGTCTTTCAGGTCCAAGCAGGTGAACCAGGTGTCCTCAGCTGGCAGCAACCCCAGCAATGTGTACGGGTTAGGTACTGTTAGATGTAAAGTCACTGTATCTTGATTAACCAGGCGCAAATCCTGTGCCGGCCTGTAGTCCTTGGTCCCTGGCTTGGAAACAGGCAGGAGGGGAGTGTTCCATGGAGACTGACAAGGAACTATAATGCCAAAGGTTCTCAGGTGCTTAAGATGGACCTGGATACCTCCAAGAGCTTCTCTGGGGACCTGGTTTTTGCCTAACCGGCTGGGCCCCAGGCTTAACTTCTAGAAGTACAGGGGCTTGGTTGGTGGCCAACCCTGGAGGGTTGTTTTCTGCCCACACTCTTGGCCACCGCTGAGCCAGAGCTGGTCTTATCTCTTGGCCCGGCTCAGTTAAGAAAAGCCTCCATTCCTCGTCTCGGGGGCCCGTAAGGGTCATAATGACTCATGTCCCAGGTAACTTTAGCAGCAAAGAGCCGTGCTCTGTAAAAGGGATAGTGGCGCTCAGCTTGCTCAGCAAGTCCCTTCCCAACAAGGGCAAGAGACAGTCAAGCATGTACAAAAACTGACGAATCACGTTACGTCCTCCTGCAGGACAAGTCCGAGGCAAGCAGAAAGCTTGCTTTGCTGAAACCTCCGACTATGTCAATGGTCTTTTTGGATAAGGGGGCGACTGGGGGCGGTTACTACAGAATGCTCAGCACCGGTATCTACAAGAAAATCGATGTCTTTACCCCCGACTGTCATCCGGACCGTAGGCTCTTTGGGGGCACTTGAGCCCGGTCCCCCTCAGTCCAACAACCCTTCTGCCAGGTTGAGCAGGGCCCCTTCCTCCTTGTCTGGGGCCTCCTGCTCTGAGTCTCCTTGTTTTCCTTTTAGCTGAGGGCATTTGTTCTTCAATATCCTATTTCTTTACAATAAGCACATTGGTTACACTGCAGACTCTGACAGCCAGGCTGAATTTCTTTCCTGGGCGCCCCCTTCCCTTGCCTCTTTGGGGGGACCCCTCTGGTTGCTGCAGCTAGCAGGTCAGTGTTTCGCCGGGCCTGACGTTCACTCTCTGCGGTTTTCCTTACGGCAAACTGCATCCCTGTTTACAAACACCTGGTTAGCTATTTCTAATAACTGTGACGTATTCATCCCTGCAAACCCAGCCTGTTTCTGCAGTTTTCTTCTGTCTTCTGCGCTTTGACTAACTAAAGCCATGTTAATCATGCGCTGATTTTCAGGGCTATCGGGATGGAAGGGAGTATACAAACGACAGGCCTCACACAGTCTCTCATAGAATTGTGTTGGACTTTCTTCTTTTCCCTGAATGACCTCAGAGACCTTGTTAACCCTTGTGGCCTTCTGGGCTCCCTCTTTAATCCTCCCAGGAGAGCTTCCCTGTCGCGGTTCAGCCTTTGCATGTCCTCTCTTTAATCTGGGTCCCACCGGGGTCGGTTCCTGGGAACTGGGTCCTCACATACTCTCGGGGGTTTCAGTAATCAGCTGGTGCGTGTTCCTCCAGCCACTTAGTTGCTGCTTGGAGCACTCTCCACCTTTCAGCCGTGTTAGAGAGGAACATGAGCAGCAGGTGGCAATCAGCCCAGGTGGGGATATGGGTCTGGATAATAGTTTGGAGCAAATCAATTAGAGCTTGTGACTTTTCAGTATAGGACGGGGTATTGTTTTTCCAGTTGAGAAGGTCGGCAGAGGTGAAGGGCTGGTACACAAAACACGCCTCTCCACCATGCGCCCATCCTCATCTATCCCAGTATTCCGCTGCTCTCTCAGGGGCATTTGTATCCCAGTTCTGGGTCGTCAACGAGCTGCCAAGGGAGGGGTTTCTCCCGAGGCTTCACCTCCTCCCTGTCTACTCTGGATGGCCTAGGGATATGTTCGTCTTACGGAGGCGCAAGCACTGTGGGCTCAAGAGTGGGGAGCCTCTCTCCCTGGTAAGGGGAGGGCACCCCTGGGATCACTGGTGCCATCTCCTGCAATGGATCTCCTGGTGTTGGGTCGAACAGAACTTCAGGAGTTGATTTCCCTCGGTGGGTGGAGTGGGATCCTTCCTTGGCTCTCTGTCCTCTGCTACTAGCACTGCTGCCGCCTGCCCTCTTAGCCACTGTGGGGGGTCTAGCACCAGCTGTAACCAAGTGTCTATGTATGGGAATCGGTCTGAGTGTCCTGATTTACCAGTTACCTTGTACCACAACTTAGAAACAAGGGGCCTGTTCAGGCTTCCTTCTGATGGCCAACCCACTTCTAATGCCGGCCAATCTATTTCACACAAAGTTCTAAGTTTCCCAGGTGGTCTAGTGGTTAGGATTTGGCGTGCTCACTGCTGCGACCCAGGTTCAATTCCTGGTCAGGGAACCAAGAAATGTAGCAGGACAAGCCACAGACAAAACTCCTCAGACACCAGGTTAAAGAAAGAAGTGGTTTATTCAGCCTGGAGCGTCGGCAGATTCACGTCTTAAGAGTTGAGCTCCCCAAAAAAAGAAATTCCTAGCCCTTTTAAGGGCTTGCAATTCTAAGGGGTCCACATGAAAATGTCATAATAGATCAAGCAAGCATGAGGAATGTGACTGGGGGCTACATGCATCAGCTAACAGAACAAGAAGTTTTACAGTGCTTTCTCATACAATGTCTGGAATTTACAGATGACACAAGTAGTTTTGGTCAGGGGTTAACATTATTAATATTATTATTTTAACCACCAGGGCCGGGCGGTAGCACCAAGGTCATCTGGCTATTTATCTTACTTCTGTTTCTTTCCAACTTTTTGCTTTGTCTCTTTTTTCCTGTCTTATGAACTAGGGAAAAGGGGAGGTGGGGGAGAAGCTGGGAAGGACAGCAGAAGTGGTGGTCTCATTTCAATGCCAGTAACCCCAGTGCTTCGGGAGCCCAGGAATTTGGTACCACCTAGGCAACAGAGCAAGACCCCTATCTCTACAAAAACTAAAAAATTAGCCAGGTGTGGTGGCACGTGCCTGTAGTCCTAGCTACTCAGGAGGCTGAGATAGAAGGATCACTTGAGCCCGGTAGTTCCAGGCTGCAGTGAGCCAAGATCACACCACTGCACTCCAGCCTGGGTGACAGAATGAGACCCCGTCGAAAACCACCCCCTCACCAGAGGGAAAAAAAAAAAAAAGCAAATCTCCAATGCATAGAAGCAGAAAGTAGAAGAGTGGTTGCCAGGAGCAATAAATAAATAAATTGAGAGCGTTTAAAAAAATCTAGACTTGGCTGGGCGCAGTGGCTCACGCCTGTAATCCCAGCACTTTGGGAGGCGAGGCAGGTAGATCATGAGGTCAGGAGATCGAGACCATCTGGGCTAATGTGGTGAAACCCCGTCTCTACCAAAAACACAAAAAATTAGCCGGGCATGGTTGCAGGTGCCTGTAGTCCCAGCTACTCGGGAGGCTGAGGCAGGAGAAGGCCTGAACCCAGGAGGCCGGAGCTTGCAGTGAGCTGAGATCGCGCTACTGCACTCCAGCCTGGGCAACAGAGTGAGACTCCGTCTAAAAAAAAAAAAAAAAAATCTAGACTTGATACTGTTTCTGAAAGGATGATTGCAAGTGTGTCAGACCTGTGAGGTCTCAAGAGTCAGGCCAAACGCGGTTTTCTTGTGTGGAGCAGAGCAGCAGGGTGTGGGGAGGAGGGTGGGGGGCCCATTGACCAGGCAGCAGATGTGAGAAAGCTGCATCTGAACCCCTGCCCAGGCTGTCTCCCAGTCAGGTCCCAGGTTGGGGCTTGGCCAGGCCTGGTCTGGAGTGGGGGACCTTTCTAGCTGCCTGGGTCTGGCTGCCCACCCTGCACAAGCCTGGGGCTCCGGCCTCTCCGTATCTCTCCTCTCCACTCTTCCTGGAGGGCGCTGCTCTTATCTGGCCTGCTCCCACAGTCTCCCTACATCTGGCCCAAAAATACACTTGGTGGCGGTCCCGCCATCACACTCAGGCTTGGGAGCCAGCGGCCCCCGGTCTGTGCCGCCTGCCACACTGCTCTCCACGGCAGTGGTGGAGAAAGGAGGTTAGAACCCCATCTCCATGGCCAGAGGGCAGGAATGAGGGAAAAGGGGGACCGTGAGGCTTCCAGGCCTGGGGTTGGAACAGGAGCTGGGCGGTGTGGGGCTGTCTGGGCCGCAGGACTCCGGGCGCTGGGAAGTGGGGAGCAGGACTGTGTCCATTGCTCCAGAAAGCACGAGGGACGCGATGTAGGAAATGGGCTTCAGTTACAGCTGGAGAGGGGTTCAGCGGGTCACCGACTTACGCAGAGAGGAGCCCAGACGGCGGTTCGAAGACCCTGGGGACGGACGCCCACCTGTCAGTCCTGGGTTGTGGGGCACCCGTAGGCCGAGGGGCAGGAGGCTATGGCCCTGACTCCTGGTTTGGGTCTAAACATCCCAAGGAGGTGAGAGCGTAGGGTAGGGGCTGTGCGATCTTTGAAAGGAAGGACGCCCCGTGTTACCAAAGGCCAGTGCTGCGGAGCTGGGCTGAAAGCGTGGGGAGTTCCCAGCAGACTAGGAACGGAGAACCGTGTCGGGGGCTCTGCTCTGCCGAGCACTGAACCCCCACAGTCATGCAGGGGCTGGAGAAGGGTGAAAGGCAGAGGCAGGAGTCCACACTTAGGGACCGGTCCGTTCCACACGCTGCTGTCCAGGCTCCTGGGTGGCACTCGCATGGAACATTCCGGAAACACCGATGGGAAGGTCCCAAAGTTGGTTCCCAAAGGCCCTGACGGACCCGCAGGGGACGCTGTGATCCTCGCCTCACCCAGACAAGGTCGGGCTGCTTCTCCCGGGAAAGCGCGTCTGGAGTCCGGGAACGGCCGCTCCTCCTGGGGCCTGTCCGGGGCGCCCTGGGCCTAAATCACAGGCTGGGAGAGGCGTGTCGGAGAAGCCCCCGCTCCAGACCCCCGGGGGACCCAGGGCGAGGTCGCCCCAGCACCTCACTTCTGGGGTCTCCCCTTTGCCACGTCGCCAGAGCAAAATTCAAAATCCGCAGTTCTGGCAAATTTCCGGGGCCTCCCGGACACGAAAAGCAGCTGAAATCTCAGGACAATGTCATGGAGCGCGGACCGAGAAGAAGCCGTTCGGAACCAGCGCTGCCCGGATTCTCCCAGGCCTGGCTCGCCGGTGGGGGGACCCCGGCCCTGGTTGGGGGGACAGGAACGGGCGGGCGCCCCTGGGGGCCTCTCATTTGTGTGTTGGTCTCGGCCTTAAAATGCAGCGGAGAAAATAAAAAATAAAATACAAATAGGAGTCAGGTGTCAGAGTCGGATCCGCCAGGCACTGAGGACTGAAGGAATCGCAGAAGCAGCTCTTCTCACCCGGGTCCAGGCCGCGGGGATCTGCGGGGGGCGCCCCCGACTCTGCCCTTCTGCCCGACCCCGCCCGGGACGCCGCGGCCTCCGAGGCCCCAGGAGCAGGCCCGCCGCCGCAACCATTACTCCACATCTCACCCGCGTTCCCATCGCCATTCCCGCCTCCGTCGCGCTCACCCTGCTGCCCTCCTTTTCCTTCCCTCGCCCAGCCGCCCGCGCCGCGGTCCCGCCGAGGATTGAGCGCCGCAGGAGCCGGGAGGCGAACCTGGGACCCGCTGGCCTCGCTCGGTGCGCGCCTCCCTCCCCACATGGAGCCCGCCGAGCGCTCGCGGGTCCCCAGGTGGGTGGCGCGGGGTGCGGGCGTCCCCGGCGGCTGCGGTCCCCAAGCGGGCCCCCGACCCCCCAGAGGAAACTTCGGAGACGCCGGCCTCCTTCTCTCGGTGTTGCAGGATCGACCCGTACGGATTCGAGCGGCCTGAGGACTTCGACGACGCCGCCTACGAGAAGTTTTTCTCCAGCTACCTGGTCACGCTCACCCGCAGGGCGATCAAGTGGTCCCGGCTGCTGCAGGGCGGGAGCGTCCCCAGGAGCCGGACAGGTGGGTCCCAGGGGTGCAGGTGGGTCCCGGGGGTGCAGGTGGGTCCCAGGGGTGCAGGTGGGTCCCGGGGGCGCAGGTGGGTCGCGGCGGCGCAGGTGGGTCGCGGCGGCGCAGGTGGGTCTCGAGGGCGCAGGTGGGTCTCGAAGGCGCAGGTGGGTCTCGAGGGCGCAGGTGGGTCTCGAGGGCGCAGGTGGGTCTCGAAGGCGCAGGTGGGTCGCGGCGGCGCAGGTGGGTCGGGCTGGGACGGGCGGGGCAAAGTCCGGCCTCCGGGAGCGGAGGGAGGGGGAGGAACCTTCCCGGGCAGGTCGGGACTTGGCTGCGGCTCCGAGCTAGGGCAGCCGCAGGGACCTGTTTTCCTGCTTTGGGATGGGCCGGCTGGTCGGACGCGAAGGAGACCCGTCCCTCCCAGAAGGGAGCCAGATCGGGATGGATCAAAACTCGATCCATGCCGGCTGCGGTGGCTCACGCCTGTAATCCCAGCACTTTAGGAAGCCGAGGTGGGCGGATCACCTGAGGTCAGGAGTTTGAGTCCGGCCTGACCAACATGGTGAAACCCCGCCTCTACTAAAATTACAAAACTAGCCGGGCGTGGTCCCAGCTACTCCGGAGGCTGAGGCAGGAGAAGCACTTGAACCTGGGAGGCGGAGGTTGCAGTGAGTGGAGACTGCGCCATTGCACTCCAGCCTGGGCGACAGAGCAAGACTCCATCCTTGTGACGGGACCCACAGGGTCCTGCTCCACCTGCCGCTCCCCCGCGACCCCAGGCCTCCTCCTGCTGCGGTGAGTACTGGCCTGGCCGCCCGCCCACCCGCCTCGGGGTTAGCTGCAGGGCCCCCTCCTCAGAAGCTCCCCAGCCTTCCCTGTGCGGAGGGCACCGCCTCACCTCTGCCTTTCCCAGCACAGCCTCTGCTGGAGTCAAAAACCTTTCCTCCCTGTCCCGGATATTTCATTCACTGCTCAGTCCTCAGAACCTGCGGCAGTGCCGGGCGACTTCCCTGTGTGTTCAGTGAATGAATGAAGTGCCTGCCTGGGGTGAGGGCTTGGTAGGAGTGTGCCCTGGAGCTAGGAACTCAGATGAGTGGGGTCAAAGGGGAGTCCTGGGGGCTTCCTGAGAAGGGGGATGTGAATGGCAGCTGAGCTTCAAGGGATGAGCTGTGTGCTCCAAGCCGTAGGACCTGGTGGGGAGGGGCAGAGATGAAGCCGGGGTCCTGCACCTGGGCGGAGGGTCGGAGGTGTGTGGTGACCACGGCCAGGCACAGATAAGCCAACTGTTAAAGGTTTTCCAGGCAGGGGGTGATAAGATCAATTTTTGCTTTTATTTATTTATTTGAGACAGGGTATCCCTCTGAGTGCAGTGGCACAATCACCACTCACTGTAGCCTTGACCTCCTGGGCTCCAGCCATCCTCCCCGCTCAGCCTCCCACGTAGCTGGGACCACTGGCGAGGCCACCACTCCAGGCTAATTTTTAAATTTTTTATGGAGATGGAAGCTAATATCCTATATGCTTCCCACAAATGCATCATGTCCCATCCCTGTGGCCTCTGCATATTCACATGTTTCCAGTGGAACGTGTGTCTTTATTTTTCCTTTTGATTTTTTCTTTTCTATTTATTTATTTTTGAGACAGAGTCTCACTCTATCTCCCAGGCTGGAGTGCAGTGGTGTGATTTCAGCTCACTGCAACCAACCTGTGCCTCCTGGATTCAAGCGGTTTTCCTGCCTCAGCCTCCCAAGTAGCGGGATTACAGGCACCTACCATCACGCCAGGCTAATTTTTGTATTTTTAGTAGAGACTGGTTTCACCATGTTGGCCAGGCCGGTCTCAAACTCCTGACTTCAAGTGATCCGCCCACCTTGGCCTCCCAAGGTGCTGGGAATACAGGTGTGAGCCACTGCGCCTGATTTATTCTTAAAAGTTAACTGGTCTTTTAATTTTAAAAAGTAAGATAAAAGTATATAAGACATGTGAACTTAAAAAGCATAATTTATGTACATGGTAAACACTTTAATCATACTAAGGGCTACAAAGTGCAACAGGGAGTTCTCTCCCACCCCTGGCCCCCATCTCCTGTAGAGATGACCGAAGGGGACTGTCCTTCCATCCCCCTCAGGAGCAGAAGTGCACGCTTGGTTCTGCAGTTTGCTTTAAGAGCAGGGGAAGTCCGTGGGAAGTCCTGTGGCTGTGACCTGGAGGTTGGTTACAGCAGAACATCTGAAAGATGTACGGTTGTGCATAAACTTTTTGTTTTTACAGAAAACACAACTGCACATTCATTCTTCTGTCTTTGCCTTGGTCGTTTGGGTCTGTTCTCTTGCTCTCCTTTTCTTTGACTAGGGGCTGCTAACTTGGGTCCCCTATTTTCCTTTTTAGGGAACCACTTAGTGCGTTACCCCCACTTTCCAATATGGATTTGGGAGGGGGTTCTGGGAAGAGCAGGGAAAAGGGAAAAAGCAATCCGGATGCAGAATCCTCCAGATTTTTATTCTTTTTTTTTTTTTTTTTGAGACGGAGTCTCGCTCTGCCGCCCAGGCTGGAGTGCAGTGGCCAGATCTCGGCTCACTGCAAGCTCCGCCTCCCGGGTTCACGCCATTCTCCTGCCTCAGCCTCCCGAGTAGCTGGGACTACAGGCGCCCGCCACCTCGCCCGGCTAGTTTTCTGTACTTTTTAGTAGAGATGGGGTTTCACCGTGTCGGCCAGGATGGTCTCGATCTCCTGACCTCGTGATCCGCCCGTCTCGGCCTCCCAAAGTGCTGGGATTACAGGCTTGAGCCACCGCGCCCGGCCCAGATTTTTATTCTTTTCCCCAATCCTTTGCAGTTATTTTACACGTAATTCAACAGTTTGTTTTTGCCTTTTTTTTTTTTTTTTTAGCATTGGTCTCTATCAACTCTTTCTAAAAACTTCACTTTGTTTTTATTGAAGTAACAACTTTCTTCTTTTTGCTTTAATTTTTTTTTAATCTAATTTTTTTTTTTTTTTTTTAGGCAAAGTCGAGGGCAGTGGCGCAATCTCGGCTCACCGCAACTTCTGCCTCCCAGGTTCAAGCAATTCTCCTGCCTCAGCCTCCTGAGTAACTGGGATTACAGGCACCTGCCACCACACCCCTCTAATTGTTGTGTTTTTAGTAGAGACGGGTTTTGCCTTGTTGGCCAGGCTGGCCTCAAACTCCTGAGCTCCAGTGATCCACCCACCTCAGCCTCCCAAAGTGCTGGGAAGACAGGCGTGAGCCACCAAGCTGGGCTGATTTATGTAATGTTAACTGGACTGTGTAATTATGGTAGCATCACTGGCATGAATGGGTCTGTGAGCAAATACATCTCTTTGGTCCCCTATGAGCCTCAGCATGTGGGATGGGAGCCACAGGGCTGTGGGCCTGCTCTGCAGTGAGTGGGGATGCTGGTGACTCCGGTGGGAGGCTCGAGGAGTCTGTGGTCACGTGTGTCCCTCCTGGCCTGGGGCCTGGGTTCCGATGTGACCGTCAGGGTGCTCATGGGCACTGGCAGAGCCTCAAGTGCAGAGGGTCGGGCATAAAACAGGAGTGGGAAAGTTATTCCAAAAATGGGAATACAACTTCTTCCTGCCAGGTATTCTGACGGTGGTAAAGTTCTTTCTTCTGTTTTTGGAGGATTTTCGTCTGCACTTCCCATGTTAAAGTCTCCAGGAACACAGTCATCTACCAATCTCAGCAATCCACATGTCTTAAGGGATAGTTATAACGTGTTCTGCCTGATCACACTCTTGGTGGGTACAATAAATACTGTATTTCCCTTTTTCCGTAGCAAATATCCACCAGGAGCCCTTAGGAAGACAACTTCCTCTTCCTCCCTAGAAAGACTACATTCAACAAACTTAGTCCCGTGGAATTCCTATTTCATTCTCCATCTCGAGAAGGGAGGTCTGCAGGGAAGCAGCTTCAGGGCCGTTGGCTTCTTGGAGACCTCCTTCCTGGTGGCTTAGAATATTAACACCGCCTAAGTTAAAATTAAATTGAGAAAACATATTTTCAAAGATACACCGAAAAACTGGGGATTTGCCTAACTTTGTCCGGGTAGACAGATGGATGTCAGTTCTCTGGATGTAGCTTCTTTTTAAAAATTTCCCAACTGTTTTGAATTGATACGTTATACTTCTGCAAACATTAGTGACGCTCTGTGGGTTAGCCCTGCCCCTGGGAAAGTGTCAGTCTGTGAGGACAAGTAAACGGTTTTCATTCTTCTATAAAGAAACAGTGTAAATCCAGATAACAAACTTATCAAAAAATCCCAGAATTCTTTGTTCTGTGAAGCTTCTGGGTGTTGCTCCAACGGCCAGAGCTGCTCGGGGACCTCGGGCGCAGGCTTGGTGCCTTCTGTTCACCTTACAGATGAGGAAACCGAGGCACGCTCAGGGTCTGGAGCCTGCAAGTCATAGTGAAGCACAGTGTCTGACTCCAGAGCTGGTGCATTTAACCATTTTGACCTTTCCCTTAAAGACAACCTTGATATTATTGTTATTATTTGAGTCAGGGTCTTCCTTTGTCACCCAAGCTGGAGGACAGTGGGACGATCATAGCTCACTGCAGCCTAGACAAGCGGTCCTCCCGCCTCAGCCTCCAGAGTAGCTGGGACTACAGGTGTGCACCACCATGTCCAGCTAATTTTTAAGATTTTTTTTGTAGAGATGGAGTCTCCTGGGATTACAGGCATGAGCCACTGCACCTGGCCTATCAATTTACAGTATTGCAATTTACAGTAAAATTCACTCTTACCAGTATATGGTTCTGTGAATTTGGACAAACCCACGGCTAGGCAATCATCACCACAATCAAGATTCTGTCACCTTCAACAATCCTGTCCTTTGAAGTCGGCCCACTGCCCACATCATTGACCTCTTCCCCATTCCCGTAGTTCAGCCATTTCCATGGTGTCGTCCGTGGAATCATACAGATTGTAGCCTTTGAGTCTGGTTTCTTTCATTTGATGCATTGGAGATCCATCCAGGACTTTGTATGTGTCAAT